ACCAAAGTACTAAAGTTTCAAAGTAGCTTTTTAAAAAAATTACTTATTTTTATTTTATGTGTATAAGTGTATTGCCTGCATGTATGTAAGTGCACCATGTCATGCAATGTCAAGGAGGTCAGAAGAGGGCATTGGATCCCCCTGGAATGTTTCATAGCTGCCATGTGGATGCTGGGAATCGAACCTGTTTTTTTTTTTTTTTTTTTTTTTTTTTTTTTTTTTTTTTGTGCATGTGTGTATGCTCATGTGGGGGGGGGTAGTGGGTGTGGGCACCCACAGAGTCCAGAAGTAGGCATGGGATCCCTTGGAGCTGGAGTTAAGGCATTTGTGGCAACATGGGTACTGGGATCCAAACTCTGGTCCTCATGATTGTGCAAGAGCTCTTAACCACTCAGCCCTCTCTGCAGCCTCTAAATATCTTTATCTTCCATTATTCTTACCTGGATAAGTATCCCAGTGCTACTTCTGAACATTGATACTACTTTTTAGCTAGAGTTAGGTGTTCTCCCTATTTTCCTCTGACATCAACCCTTTATAAGATTTGTTCTTAGAAGTATTCAATATTTCTAAGCCCAGGAAACTGCTATGCATCATAGAATAGGAACTCCAATTCCCCCCCTTCCCCCTCCTCCTCCTTCTTCTTGTCTTTTTGAGACAAGGTCTCCCTATAGCCCCAGCTGGCCTGGAACTCGCTATGTAGACCAGGCTGGCCTCGAATCACAGAGATCCACCTGCCTCTGCCTCCCAAGGGCTGGGATTAAAGATGTGTGCTACCATGCTCAGCCTCCAATTCTTTTTTTAAACAATTATTTTTTATGTTATAGTGTTTTGCCTGCGTAGATGTGTATCACATGTGTTCCTGGTGCTAGAGAAGGGTGTCTAATCCCCTGAAACTGGAATTAAAGACAGTTGTTAGCTGCTATGTAGGTGCTGGGACCCAAACCTTGATCCTCTGCAAGAACAGCCAGTGTTCTTAACTGGTGAGTTCTCTCTCCAACCCCTTTCCAATTCTTGTTCTAATAATCTGTCTAGGGCCATATCTGGAAGCTCATGCCTGTAATCCCAGCATTCTAGAGATAGAGGCAAGAGGATCTACTGCAGGCTGAAGGCCAGCCAGGGCAATATAGCAAGCCCATGCCTTAACCAAAAACCCAAAATGAATATCTATTTAGTACTTGTTTCACTGTGTCCCTTTCTACCCCAGGCCCTTGCTTTGTTTTCATCAGTTCTCCAACCCAACAGAAAGATATAATTCACGAAAGGCCATAATACACAATGAGGATCCATTAGTCTTTCAGATACTGCTGGTCTGTCCATGTGGATGTGTTGTTTCCCCTCATTCCTGAGTTCCTTACCCTGGAGTATTCCCCATATATTAGACCGCTTTCCTACTTGTTGGGCTTTTGGTAACTGGAGTACTAGGGATTATTTTACCCTTGGACTCAATGATTCCTTAAAGCTTTTCATAGTATTCAGGATCTCCTAGTAATGTCTCCTGACATTAGATTTGGCCATCTGACTTCACTGCCCAATAGTAAGTTAATGAACATTGCTTCTGGGTGGAAGCTTTTAAAATAGCTATTGCAAGACACTGAAGCACTAGCAATTAACTTTTATTATCCCAACTGTGGCAATCTTGAAAGCATGTCTCAGTGATGTGTACATCAATCAAGGGACCTCAGTGACTGAAACTCGGCAGTCTTTGAAGAGAATGCTGTCCCCAGATCCACCCTTTACATGATACATTCTTCAAATATTGGAAGCAGTGGTGACTGATGGCTCTCAAATGGATCCTATTTTGGGGGCTGTTTCACCTTTCAGCCCTGGGTGCAATCTACAGCCAATAATTGGTTGATGTAAGAGTATACAGACTTGATTTTGATGTTCTACCACAATTTAGGAAAACGTCGGAAGGCCATCTCAGGTCCAGAACTCCCCCACAGGATTGCCTGAAGCTTCTGGGTGACTGTATCAATCCACCTCTCACTCTCCAGTACTGCCTCCCTTGGCCTCCACAAAGATTGTTCTTCAGACTATTACCCAGTAACTTCTTACACACAAACTTGGGTTTGAAGGTCTGTTTTTTGGTGAACCCCACTCAAGATAGGCCCCCTAATGTCTTCTATCAAACATGAAACGAGAGATAATGCAATAAGCTGCTGAGATTTGTGGAGTGTTACAATTTAGCCCAGTCTCATCAGTATAGATGCCAGACCTCACCTGCCCTACCAATTCTTTGTTTTCACCTCAGTTTGACTTGTATTGTCTGTGTTGTGTAGTAGGTAAGTCATTGCCACATTCTAATTTCTTCTTTGATGATCTCACTCTGAGTGAAGATTTTCTCAACTCTGATATATTTTTTTAATTAAATCTTTTTAAAAATATATTTTATTATTTTTATGTGTATGAGTATTGCCTGCATGTATGTAAGTAGTTAGGGACAGGTGTTAGCTGCCATGTGGGTGCTGGGATTCGAACTCAGGTCTTCTGCAAGAACAACCAATGTTCTTAACCACTAAGCCATCTCTCCAGCCTTCAACTCCGATATTTTAAGGACAACAGAAAGGAAAGAGGGTTGCATATTGAGTTCCACTGATTATTTCTACCAAGTTAGTGGCATGAATTTTTTTCATGCATTTCCTAAGACTTCTTCCCTACATAATTTATCACATTCATAACATGTATAAAGGTACTTGATGCTTCTTAGGAAAATTTTATGCAAATAATTGACTGTACTTGACCTCAATTTGAGGAAGAAAAATAGTATTTCAACAGCTAGTAAGCTTTCTGTACCTTATCTCTGAGAGTCAGCTCTCATTTCTTGAAAGCCAGATTTAGTTAAAACAATGTCAGTTCCTTATTTTAGGCTTTTTAGGCAATACGAAATATAGTAATAAAGCTAAAGAATCAAAGCATGTGTTCATTGTTTTTCAAAACGGATTTTACCACATAGAAAAATTTCTCTGCTTGAAGGATAAACAGTATAAAAATATTTTGACTACAAAAAAAAGTCCTGAGCAGGTATTTTATTACAATAATTATAGGAGATATTTACTATAACAGAAACCAGTTTAAGGAATGTGGAGATTTATCTACATCACGTTCGGATAAACAGATAAAAGGGGGACTTGAATAAGCAAGCTTGAGTAGGACTTTAGGATTGTACTTATGAATGTATCTTTGGAACTGCCCTTAGCCAACAATGAAAGACCGGCAAAACCAGCCTTCAGAACAGCCTTCTATGGGAGAAGGGAGGGCTAGATTTCACCTCCTAAGATCGCCCTCCCACGCGTTTTTTCCACCTCGCAGTTAAGAATTAAACCCAGACTTCCGATCGTGGCGCCAAGCACGTCACCTTCTCCCCTCTCCCCTAGCAAAATCCCACCCAAGTCGGCTGACCCTACTGGGGAGTCACCTCCCCCTAGCCTGGCTGCATAAAGGAGACATAAAAAAAAATGGCTTAAAGAGATTTTGGGAAGCTGCGGTACCAACAGGCCCTTCCCAATTCCTTGGGGGGAGACTGGATCCCACAACAACTCTGCGCCGTTTTCCTTAACGCAGGCCCCGAAAAGCCCTCGATACCCGCGGCCTCGCTGAATAAGAGCCCTGCCGGGAGGTGCCGCGGACACACGGGCAGCCGCCGGGCGAGTGGTGTCTGTTCGCCGCGCGCTTCGCATCCCCTTCATCACGGCTGCGGGTAGAGGCGCGCGAGGAAAGCGAACACGCGGCAGCCGCCTGTGGCTTTCCAGCAGAGGCCTTTGTTCGAGCCGCGAGGGGCGGGGAGGCCACAAAGGCCAGGCTTTCGGCTCCCGGGAAGGCGGCTCGCTCCGGCGGAGGAGGCTCCCTCCGGAGACAAGGGGCCGATCCTGCCTGCCCTCGAGGCTTTTCTCGACTCCAGACCGCGGCCCCTCGGTCTCAGCACTTCGTCTTCCTAAACAAAAGCTGCAGCCGCCCGCGCAGACACACACGCACAGAACGCCGCACCATCCACGCACGGAAGGTGTGCGTGTGTGCGGGACAGGAGCCATGGCTACCCCCCACCCCCCACCCCGCGCGCGCGTCTGGCCCCACCCTGCCGGAGGGCGAAAGACGCCGAGCCAGGGCCTCAGTTCCCCAGCCAGCCTGGGAGCCGGGGGCGGGGCCGGGCGGGGCCGCGAGCGCGCAGGCGCAGCCAGCGCCGCCACCGTCGCTGCTGTCGCCGCCCGCGCTGCACCACAGGCCGGAGACAGACAGGGGTCGGGTAGAGAGCTGGAGACTGAGGAGGAGGCGGTGGCGGAGGCGGGGCGACTCCGGTGACCGGGAGCGCCTCAGACTGGCAGCTGCGGCGACTCCCCCCTTTGTGTCTGGTCTGCTCAGAGCCACTGAAAGTGCTTCCCGGAGGGGTGCAGGGTGTCTCGCAGGCTCGGCTGCCCACCCCCTTCCCCGGCCACCTACATCCGCCCTCCCGCCGCCCCCCGCCCTCGGCCCGCGACGCCCGAGCTCCGCCCGGAGCCCAGAGCTGCGGAGAACGAGGCGGCGGTGGCGGCGGTGGCTGCTTACTTGGAGCGGGGCTGCTATTCGCTCTGGGGAGCCATCGACGGGAGAAGCCGAGGCTCGCAGGGTGGCATTTACCTCAGGCTCGAGCAAGCGGCCGGAATAGCCGAGAGCGAGGCCGCGGGAGGAGCTCCCTCGGAGGGCGAGCCGGGCCAGCCGGGCTTCGGGCGTGTGGCAAGCCGGGGCCAGCCGCCGCGAGCGTCCCCTCCCCCGCGCCCCGAGGCCGGGCCTGCACGACCCTCTCCTGATTGTTCCGAGGAGGCTGCGGGCTCGCCCATGGAGGAGGCCACTGTGTTGGAGCCAGTCGGCGGAGAGGCTTGGCGGCTGTCGACCTCGGAGTGAAGGGAGCACCGAAGCGAAACTTTGTCTTCCGAGCGGCGAGCGATGCGACGCGGGCCGCCGGCCGCCGATACCAGCCCCACTTCGCCCTCCACGGCGCTCGGGGACTTGTACTGAGCCCCCGGCCGTCGCGTCCCCGCCCTCCAGCCCCCGGCACCTGGACATGCGTTCTCCCAGACCCGGCTATTTTTTTGATATCGTGAAACGACGAGGGAAATAATTGCAAGGGTTTTCTCCGCCCACCCCGACATGCCTTCAGTTTGGGGGGCCGAGGCACCCGGTCCTAGGAGAATGGAGCGCCCCAGCCTCGCGGGAGCGGAATGAGGGGCAGTTGTGCAGTGGAATGAAAGCTCTGCAGCGAGGTCCTCTCATCTGCCGTTTGTCCTTCCGAACTGCATTGTAATCCGGGCAGGAGTCAGACGACCGAGCCCTGGTTCCTCGGTCCCAGTTTACTTTCCAGATTTCTTTTCTTTGCCCTCCTGCTTCTCGGCTGACCCAGGGATGACTTCGTCGCTGGCGCGGCCCTGGCGGGTGCCCTGGCCACTCTGGGCCGTCCTGGTGGTCGGCACTACCGCCGGTGAGTAGCCCCGGGTCGGCGGGTCTCGGTTGCGGCCCGGCGGGTGGCGAGGGAGGGAGGGAGGCCGAGGCCAGCGCCGCGATCGCTGTGGACCCGAGTCGCGACCCGCCTGTGAAAGCACCTTCAGTGATTGCCTGGACTTTCCTGTCCCCACTCCCGGAGTCCCTGTCCCCTCCCCCACGGGGAAAAAAAAAAAAGACATATTGGGTGTGGTATCTTGACATTTTTAGCTGTGAGGTAATGCGAGGATTAAAAATATTTTAATCACTAGTGAACAGTGTCTATTAGGTTTTGGAAGCAGCTGGGTAGTTTTGCTTTTTAATAAAGAAGCAGATTTGGTTTCCAGTACAAAGGGCTAAGACACACGCCTGGACCTCCTTTCTACCTTTAGATCCGTCTGAGAATCTGCGTTACTTTTCGTTACTCAAGAGTGTTAGCGGATGATTAGAATAAATGGTACAGCCTGGGTGTGAGAGTCCTGATACATTGTCGAAGACTGTTGACTGCTGTTTCGTGAACGTCATTTTGATGCCGAGATTCTGAACTGTTGTGTATCTTTTCGTCTTGGGCATGTGTTCTTGATATGCTTTTGGGAAGACTGTTGGGCACAGGAGTATTTTGATAACTTTGCTATTAGTCATCTGGCGTCTGTTGGTTTTCCTGTCATTGAGACAACTTTGACCTCACGTCAGACTTCTAGGAGATTTGACTCCTGAAAGTTCTTTGACATTTTACGAACGTGTGAAAGGAAATGGTACTCCCATTTCCTTTGGATATTTCCTTTTTAAATCTCAGTCGCCTTGGGGGGAAAAAACTACAAAAACATGTTTTCCTTGCACTTATTTTCAAACAACGGTCTTTTGGTGATTTGCTTTTAGAAAATTTCAGGAGTGGATCCTTAAATTAACCACATGAATTACACATTTAAAAACGAAACTTTAAAAGCCGGGCGTGGTGGTGCACGCTTCTAGTCCCAGCACTTGAGAGGCAGAGGCAGACGGATCTCTGTGAGTTCAAGGCCAGCCTGGTCTACATAGTTGAGTTCCAGGACAGCTGGGGCTACAGGGAAACCCTGCTTCAGAAAGACCAAAAAACAAAACAAAACAAAAAAAACGCACGAAAATTTGTTTTTGTAAGTTTGTAATTTTCACATTCAAGAAATTGTTATTGCTATATGAGACACAGAGGTGACATGCTTAATTTACATTTTAAAAGTCTGTGCTGGGAAGATACTGAAAATTGGAAGTTTCCTTTTGTACTTTTGGTATTGTCTATCAATTAATATCTAGTATTTTTATAATAAGTCTATGTAGTACTAAAATAATTCAGACTGAAATGAATACATTTTGAAACATCTTTTTTTTTTTGGTCTTTTTGAGACAGGGTCTCCCTGTAGCCCCAGCTGTCCTGGAACTCACTGTGTAGACCAGGCTGGCCTTGAACTCACAGAGATCCGCCTGCCTCTGCCTCCCAAGTGCTGGGATTAAAGGCGTGTGCCACCACGCCCGGCTTGAAACATCTGTTTTAATGTTTTTAATTATTGCAGTTTTTTTTTGAGCAACACTGAACAGTTTTTCTCCAAATTTATTTGTTAGCTGTTTAAATCTTCTAGCCGTAAGTCATATGGTTCCTATAAAATATGAAAAGAATAAGAATGGCCTTTACACCTAAGCAGTCATTCTACAAGCAGAAATCGCAGAACGTTTTGCCTTTTTTGGTATTCTTGACTTTAGAATGCAGATTCTCATTTATAGTGATGTGCTTATCATTTGTGATCAGAACTGATAAAAGAGAAAAATAACATTGATTTTTAAATTATTTCTATTTGGTAAATATATTCTTAGGATATTGTCCTTTTTAAAGAAGCGTTAGATTATAAGAATCTTTGTATAAAAGTGATTTTAATTTTTTTTCTCTTTAGTGTTATATAGTACCAGAGGATGGGATTTTTGAAGCTGGATTTCAGAGCTCTAGCTAGCTATTTATTGGGTACTCTCTATGCATCAGCACGTGTTCAAATAGTTGTACATATAGTTCCTTCTTTGAGCCTCCTGACAGTTTTGTATCATAGGCTGTTAACATTTCCCTTTTACAGAGAGGGAAAGAAAATTAAGTATAGAATTTTAAGCAACTCATTATATAGTAAATTATGGAGCCAGGATTATAGCTTGCATCCTTACCTACCTTGTTAATGTTAACAGGGAGCAGCTGTACCAGAACAGCTTCTCCCTCTAATTAGACAGGAGGTAGAGCAATGCCTTCACCAGATAACTTTGAAAGGACGGTTGGCCAGTTACAGAATAATGGGTACAGGTAGGATCATGCAGTGTTATGGTTCTGAATGTGTAAAACTATGCTTAACCGTGGATTGATTAGTGCAGTTTCATTAAGTGCAGGGTGACTAGATAAGGCCTGTGTGGATTTGGGATAGACTAATGCAGAGATGTAACTGGCAGGTCAAATAGGGTACTGAACAGGAAAAAATATTGGAAGACTGATAGATACTATATCCTTCTTTGGGGTCCTGAATAAATTACTGTTGGCATTGTTTTGAAGCATTGACTTATTCTGTTGCCCAAACTGACCTGCAACTCATTGTGTAGTCCAGGTTGTATTCAAACTCTTGGGCTTTTCTTCTGCTTCAGCCTCCCAAGTGCTGTGATTATCTGTATGAGCTACCAAGTCTGGCTTACTGGAATATCATCTCTTTTGAATCACTCATTTCCAGTTACTCTGTCTAGTTCTTGGACTCCTTAATTCTAAGAATAGTTGGTATGCAAAAATTTGAAATTTATGAGAAAGATGTGCTTGCTTAAAATGATTTATTCTAATGAAAATTTATTAAATGCATTATTAGTTTTATTTTTTATTATTATTTTTTGTTTTATGTGTATGAGTGTATTGCCTGCATGTAGGTAAGTGCACCCATGTCATCCAGTGCCTGAGGAGGACAGAAGAGGCCGTCGGATCCCCTGGAACTGCAGTTAGGGACAGTTGTTAGCTGCCATGTGGGTGCTGGGATTAGAACCCGGGTCTTCTGCAAGAACAACCTGTGTTCTTAACCGTGGAGCCATCTCTCCAGCCCCAAATGCGTTATTAGTTTTAATAAGGCAATTCAAGTTTTGCTTAAGGGTCAGCATTTGAAATAATTCTCTTGACTGTATTTCACCTTTATATCTCTTCAGGAATATACATTGTCTAAGGTGAGATTCATCTATTTAGTATTATTGAGCAGTTAGTGAAAATTGTTGAGTAACTGCAAGATAGGTAATCTTCAGTGTTTCTCAGATTTTGTGCACTACAGAAGTTACCTGAGGTTCTTGATAAAATGTATACTGAATGAATTTGTATGGAACATATATTTAGGAAAAAAAATTCTTTTTACCCTAAAGAGTTTAAAAGAGGTGAGTTTGAGAACTAGTGCTTTATATCATTAGTGCTGATTGAATTTCTTCAGTATGGTGGTTTGGTCACCTTTTGCCACATGATAATTTGCAGCCACAAAATCTTCATAGCATGTAACAAACATTTATTTTGTTCTACTTGTCTCCTTTTGGGTCCTAGTGTGGAGGGAAGGTAATACCTTAAGAAGTTTGTGTCACAGTAGTGGCAGAATGCAAGAGGGCAAACCCAACCCTACTGGCATATTTCCAGACTGTTCCTCTAACTTCCCATTGGCTCATCAAATCTTGCTGCCATACCCAAAGACAAGGTATATTGGAATAGTGCATTTTGTATATGATGAGAATGATATAGAACATATGAATATATAATAAATTGCAGAGGAATGAAGAATTAAGACCCTCAGTCTTCCCCATAGAATTGGGAAGGTGGCACAGGAAGGAAACTTAACTTCTTTTACCTTTGGGTAGGCCTTTCCATGAACATGACACCAGCTTTGGTTTCTACAGAACTATCTTGGAATATCACCTGTGGTATATGGTGTTGGTGTTGGTGTGTTCTGTGAAATGTAAGGAGAGGATTATTTTACATTAAGACTTTCTTGCATTACTTTCCTGCATTGAAGACTGACTTTTGTTTTTCTTTTGTTTGGTTCTGGGGATCCAGGAACCCTCTGCCACTGAACTGCAACCCCAGCCTAAGGCTAACATTTTTTTTTTTTCCAACAGTTAAGAAGTTGAATATTAGTTTGTGAGGTTAAGTTCTAGATATTGAGTGAAGTTGTACTAAATGAGTTAATTTTATAACGAGTTGTGCCACTTACTTTGTTACCTGGCTCTTACAGTGTTGCTATTGAATAGCAATGTGATGTGCTTGTCTTCTTCCAACTGATACTGGTATCTGTAGGATAGGGTTCATATTTTTAGTTTAATTATATTAATTAATTTAGTTGTTTATATTTTTTTGTCTTTTTGAGACAGGGTCTCCCTGTAGGCTCAGCTGGCCTAGAACTCTATATGTAGACCAGGCTGGCCTCATCTCAAAAAGATCCACTTGCCTCTGCCTCCCAAGTGCTGGGATTAAAGGCCTGTGCCACCACACTTGACCATATCTTTTATTTTTGTAGTCCTGAGGATTAAACCCAGGGCCACATGGATGCATGAGCTATATCCCTAGTTTTGTTAGCTGTCCTATTGTTATATACATTGAAGAAGTTTAAGAAATACTTGGTGTGGGGCTGGAGAAATGGTTCAGCAGTTAAGAGTGCTGGTTGCTCTAGCCAAGGACTTGGGGTTGATTCCCATGTTAGCTACATGGCAGCTAACAACCATCCTAACTCCAGTTCCAGGGGCTCCAACAAGGATCTGACCTCCGCAAGCACTGCACAACATGAATGCACTTGCATACATGCAGGCAATACACTCATACACATAAAATAAAAATAATAAAAGTTAAAAAAACACAAAAAGAAATACTTGGTGAATGAATTATGAAAAGGAATTAGAACTTCTTTTCATATTAGTAGCATTCTTTGTTGTAGTTTCTTCAACTGTATTTGAAGTGATATAGTGGGAAGATCACTGTCCTGAGTTAATGAG